AGTAAATGTTGTGGATTAGACGTTTTCTCTAGCCTAACACTGAGATCTTGCAGATAGCTCAAAATCAGGTAAAGAATGTGCTGTTCCACTCCTATTTTCTTCAATTCATTAATGACGTGCTGCCTTGGCGCTGTGTTGAAGGCACTTTTATTTCAAGTGCTACCACAGCTCAAAGTTTTGTTTTTCGATTCACTACTACCCCAACCTCTCTTGCTATTTTACTATTTCTATTATTGACATTCCATTTTAAGCCCAAATTGCCTCAATGAAATGCCGCCACTGGAGTGTATGTCCCTTAACAGACATTCTAGCACCATATGTTCTAGAAGCTTACCAGCTACATCTAATAAGCTTAAATAAGCTACTTCATCAACAAATTCCGGCGCCCCGAATATTTCAGACCTTAGACCGCGATATACGGAGCAATAGCCCAGAAAGATGAACGCTGTTTCGTCCTCCTCCTAGCACTTGGGTATATTTCTACCTTAAAAAGGGATAAGTGGCTGTTCAGTCTGCAGTGGCCGGTGAGAACCCCCACCAAAAGGTTGAGTAATTTTCTACCCCTGTCCAGCAAGCAGCGCGTCCGACGTTTGTCGGGGCCAACTATGAACTTCTTGGCCTGTTCGCAGTCATCTCTGTCTCCTCGCTCTTTTCAGATCCCTATACACCCATTCATTCAGTGCCGGAAGACCTGGCTCATGCTTATGCCCAGCCTGGTCTTGGGATCGACGCAAGTGCTTCTGCCTCTCAGTATAGCCATGCAATCTGCTTTCTCGTTGCCCGGCACTGCGCTGTGCCCGGGGACCCAAAGCTGGGTCACTTCTCTGAGTGGGGCTAAACTTTGGAGAGTAGTAGTGCATTCTTGAACTAAATGTGACCTAATCCTCGGGGATGCCACCGCCTTCAGGGCTGCTTGACTGTCGGAGCGTATGAATATGCTCCGCTCGGTACACTGCTGAATTTCCTCTGAGTACCACCATTAAGATGGCAAATATCTCTGCCTGGAAGATCGTTGTGCAGGTTCCAAGCGCAAAGTTTGCCTGCATGCCTTTGTATTCCAAGTATATTCCCGCCCCACTGAATCTCGTTTCCTTGAAAAAGGATCAATCGGTGAAGCATACGAGAAACTGAGGCGGGAATGTTATTCCTCCATTCCAGTGAACATTCCAAGTCGGATCTTATGGCGTTCTTGGCCCTTTCCACTTTAAAGAAGATATGGGGAGATTGCATACACGATCTTGGAATGACCAGTCACCGGTTCTCGCATCGCCGACGTGCACTTATTTCACATCTTTAAGGCGGCTCCGACGCATTGAGTTTCAAGCCATTTACAAGGGTTCAGCTTCTTCAAAATTGACACTCCATTTTGAAATTCATACAGTATGTTGAGAAGATAATTGCCCAGGGTGCTATAGGATCACTTTTTGAAATTTGCACTTTTTCTGTCAACTTCGCGATTTTTTTAAAAAGAACCTAGTGAAAAAAATGAAAAGTGGCTCTATAGCACCCTGTGGGATTTTGTTTTCAGCACTCTGTGAAAATTTCATCCAAAAATATCAAAAAATAAAGCTTCAATTTTGAAGAGCGAAAACCTCTACAAATCGTGTTTTGGACGAATTTTGTCTACTGTTTCGTGCTGCCAAACCAAGCGTTGCGGCGCAATGTACGGACCAAGGCCCGTATCGTCAGTCGTCCCTACAATTGTAGGGCGCGTTTATGGCCTCCTTGATTGTCATCCTCCTTTCTCTCCTTAAAAAATTTCTAGATTACACTTGTCCCGTGACAGCGTCAGCGCCCTCCTATTGTGAAGATATGTGTTCTTTTTGAATTGTAGGAAATTTCAGGCTGATAAAACATGATATAACTCAAAAGCAAGCACAATTTGTTGCAAATAGATGTTTGTGACATAACCTCAAAATAGAGTTCTGACACGGAGAAGCAGAAAACTATGACAATCAAGAAGGCCATAAAGACGCCCTACAATTGTAGGGCGCGTTTATGGCCACCTTGATTGTCATACTCCTTTCTCTCCTTCAAAAATTTCTAGATGACACTTGTCCCGTGTCAGCGTCAGCGCTCTCCTATTATGAAGATATGTTTTCTTTTTAAATTGTAGGAAATTTCAGGCTGATAAAACATGATATAACTCAAAAGCAAGCACAATTTGATGCAAATAGATGTTTGTGACATAACCTCAAAATAGAGTTCTGACACGGAGAAGTAGAAAACTATGACAATCATGGAGGCCATAAAGGCGCCCTACAATTGTAGGGACGACTGACGATACGGGCCTAAGAAAGAAGATAATTTGCTGGGCCTATTTCATATAATATCGCGTAGATAAGTCGTTCTGCAAATAGGTATTCATAATCGCGATCGCTGATACTCCTCGATTTTAAAGCCGTTTTACTTCCTACGTCACTAGGACATCACGAAAAACTGTATCACTCGTCATCAACTTGGAAATTACCGCTCGGATTTTTTTGAAATTTCTACTCCGTTTTTGACGTTACAGGGGTTCCTAATCATTGACATAAAAAATTGTACTGGGGGGTTGAAATCAGTGAAACACGTTCTATTACTAAGTAGCTTCTGATCCCAGTGATTACAGGAAATTTAAGTATCGAAAATCCGATGAATAATGTGCTCACGATTTCAAAAAATCGGTACCTGCTCTATAGGTTTGACACCAACATCCATCAGATCTGCAACTACCGACAGTAGGAAAGAATAAATTCGGATATCACTCCAGTCAAGTATAGGGGAATTTAGCGTGGAACTTTAAAATTATCGATATGTCAGGAAATATGTTTTTGAGAACGATCATTTGGTAGATTTTATACCTGCATTTCCATTTGAATTTCATAACCCGTGAAATGTACCCATTTCGCCGTTACCTTTTGTGTTCTGCAGTTTGTGATGTTTTCTGGATATAAGCAGGCCATAATTGCCTAGGGTGCTATCAGAGCTTTTTACAAAATTTTGTCTTTGCGCAAGAATTATGGTGGGTTGAAATGCTCACTATTTGTGCTCAACTTCTTGATATTTTAAAAAGATCGAAAAAGTGGATCGCTGGCACCCTGTGGACCTTGTTTTTTTAGCACGCTGCAAGAGTTTCATTTGGAAATAATAAAAAGTAAGCTGTGAAGTGCAAATCGGTTTTTGGGCGAAATTCATCTACTGTTTCGTCCTACAAGTCCAAGCGACGCGACGGTGCGTTCCGACTAAGAAAAAATGTATTCAAATAATTTTATATCCTTCTTAAAATAAATTCAAGAACTCAAATTTTAATTCGTTTATTCATGTCAATAAACACAATTATGTTTAGAAGGGTCGTGTGGTGGATGGTAACAATTGAACGAGGGTCATAAAAATATCTTATGCCGTCAAAATAAGAGGAAACAGTTACGTAGTTTTTGCAAAGCAATAAACAGGTAGGCTTATACCTGGATTAAGTACATGTCCTGTCTTCTGTAATAGGTATATGGGGGTGATGCTGCCAGAAATGAATGTGTGCGATCAATAAACAAACCACAAGATTGAACTGCCGTGTCTAATGATTTTTGCATTGCCTTTTTTTATTGCCTTACTAGAAAAGTCTGTTGGGTATATGATCGAGTTTACTAGAACTTTACAGCTTGTTGTCTACCTTCTTCTACAAACTTCACCAAATCGAGACGCTGTCAACCTTATCCTCCGATGAAGATGCCACAAATCACAGTCCTCTGATTTGGTGACTTGTTCGATATGCAAAATCTCGTCGTCACTTTTTCTAAGTTTCCCTAAAAATTCTTGCTTAGCAACCTCCAAATCAATGCCGTTCATGTCAGGTTTTTGACAGAATTCGCCATAAAACTATTATATATTTTCTTTGGAATTGCTATCCGAATTGTTAGTTATTTTTATATCAACTTTTTTTGGTCTGAGTTTCTTTCCAAGATTCTTGTGTTTGAGACTTTGTTCCATCTTAGTGATAAGCGAGGTTGGACTAAGCTTAGAACGCAAATGTATTTGGACCACATACACAGGCCGCTCGGTATTGTGGCTCACTATAGCTGCAGCACATCTTCCATGGTATGACCTCTTCTTGCAATAATTTATTCGCTTACCCCAATGTATTTTGCGATTATAGAGTTGAACTGCCGCACACTATTGTTGTCCTCATCATGAATTAAACTCACTGAATTCGTAATTAAAATTGTCGCATATGACCTTTTATTGTCCATTATCAACCTTGATAAAACATTCATTCAAGAACAATCACACCAACAATTTAACAACACAATATCGACGAACAGTAACAAGGGTAGAACAATAATAAATTATCACTAGCTGTGTACCAAAATAGGAAACGATTTACAGGCTAGATCACTAATCGAAATCCGACTCTGTTATTATAAAAATTTACCTCGGTAGGCATCCGCAGTCATCCTTTACTCTTTTAAAGTAGCGCCGACCACCGTCTAAGACCAGCAGATGGTGCTCGTGATTGTAGGAGCCCCGTTAAGTATGGCGACATGGCGTCTCGCTTTATACAGGAGTCCAGCGCCGCCAGTCTTCGAATTTTGACGAGCTTGCGAGTAACCGCATCATACTGTATCCTGGCTCTTACCACCGTCGCGTAAAGCCAATGCAGGATCTCTGGCCTTAATCCCCAGGTCCTGCTGACTGCTTTACGCAACTGCCACATAGTTGCTATCGGCTTCTTGTAGATGCCTATGAGATCCGCCGGCTGGTACCTCCAAGTTCTACAGTCTGAGTCCATCTACAAACCCGCGCAGCTCACAGCGTCTGATTAATAGATCCATACCAGAACGCCACCGCTCTGCCTGATGCTATGATAGACTTAGGTTTAATATCATTTCAATTGAACTGGATATGTAAAGCTGTACGCCCACCGAAGCGAACTGAAGCGAAGGGAATCACGGCGGCATTTGTCATTTGCACGCGTCAAGCTAGCGAAAGAGTGGATTTCTTCTCTTCATTACCTTTCCCTTCCATGAACGCGCACATTTACAGTATCTGTTTCTAAATACTACGTCCATTTATGTTAAAACTGGAATATTTCTGCATTACAGGTGTAGATGATATCAAATCCGTCAGCATGCATGCTACATTAGCAGAGCTTGGTATGGATTCGATGACAGCCGTAGAGATTAAGCAGACGTTAGAAAGGGAATATGAAGTATTTTTGTCGCCTAAAGATATTAGGAGTATGACGTTAGCCAAGTAAGTCAGTTAGATACTAAGTAGACTAGGTATCTTGAAAATTCGTGTTTATAATTGCATCTCAGATTATGTTAAGATGGTTATTCTTGAAGAACTCATTACAGCAGCAGGTCATGTTGTAATTAACATATAGGATTTTCTCAAACGTAATACATCTTCTCGATACTTGTTCCAGGTTAAAGGAGATCCAAGAAGAGCGACTGTTGGGTGACTCCGCAAAAGCGGAAAAATCAGACGAATCAACGTACGGTATCAAGTTGGTATTCAGGATATTGGGCGACGAGTCCGAAAGTACCTTGAAGGAGATCCCATTGCGTTCCAGATTGTCTGAGGGTGAGGAGGGACCAACAGTATTCGCGCTGCCAGGCATCGAAGGATTCGTCAAGGTCATGACAAATATGGCTGCGGGCATGGATGCCACGGTTGTCGGGTTGCAATATGCCTACGATCTTGAGTTTGAAACGGTGCAAGATATTGCCAAAACCTTAGTGCCGGTGAGTATTTTTCTAGAATCACGTGAAGAAGTGCGTTTTATTGGTAGCAGTCGGAGACGTTTAGCAAGGACCGATCACATATTCGCCAGGAGTGCATAGTTAAATCGATCGCCGCACACGCGGTGGACAAAAGAGGAAATATCATCGGCCTGATCATGAACTATAAGTATATATTGGTGAAATCTGTGTCATGTGATGTCACTCAGCTCTGGCAACTGTGCAAATTCTTTACAGCCATCATTTATTAGAACAAAACCACGTTCTATATTTATGTTTATTTTTATATTGCACGTGTCAAACACTTATACACGGTGAGCCATATAGTATGCACCTTACTTGGATAATATTTCTATCACTACAGGGTGATTCATGACTATGTAGTGATCTAAACAAGCATTTTTTGAATGGTAAAACCTACATTTTATTGTAGGTTTTGACAGGCCATTCTAAATCGAGCAATTTGATATGATACACTATACTATGGGGCTTTATTTTCAAATTGAAAAAGCATCGGCAACTAGCGCCTCCGTAATTATTATAACTACAGTGCTCAACTTTTCCCCAGAAGAACTCATGGTCCCATATTCAAGAACGTAAAATGAACCACATGTGACCCGGCTGACAATGCGAACTGGGACATAATTCGAACTGTTTTCACTCTCGCTCAGTGGTCGATTGTGGTAATATATGACACTTTGTGTTGTCATATTTCGATAGAGTGGTTCTTGAGTCAGAGCTGACCTTTTTGTAGAACAGCTATAAAGGTAAATGAAAAATTTCGCAGCAAAATCAAAAATAGGGTTTAGTTGGTAACAAATCAAATCAACCCAAAATTATGCAATAAAGTCGAACAGGCAAGAGGATATCCCAGTGTTTTCAGTAACTTCGAAACAAGTAGTATACTTTCCTGCAAACCTTATATCACAAAAAAGCGTGTGGAAAGAGGAATCAAGGGAGATGTAGAGATTGTCAGAAAAACTGAAAAAGTGAGCAGGTGGGGAGAAAATATTTGATCATATTTTTTCTGGCTGGTTATAATAGTAACGGAGATCCGAGTTGTCAAAGTTGAGTAGGTATTTTCTTAGATAGATTGTCCAATAACCTACCAATTTGGAAACAAAGTAATATATTTTATCGAATTTTTCCGTTTAAAAAGACCTATCCAAATCTGCAATGAAGTGTAGAGCTATCCATTAAAAAAAACTGCATGTTTGGGTCACCACCCAGTGATTTTTGTATTTAACTTTTTTAGTCAGCATGCATAATATCGGTGTTATCGACCGAGCACACACTAAAAACTCACCCTTCATATATATCGCGCACCCAGCAAATAACAGCTGTCGGACTCTGGGGTGACAGAGAAGAACCAATCCTGTAATCTCCTCCATAGAGCATTGCCATGAGAACTTGTAGAATTAGTTTATCAACAGAGCCTATTTTTTGGGTGTACTTGAAAGATCTAGTATGACAATGACAAATATAAAATTATATAATTTATGGAATGTTAAAAGCAGAGCACCACTTTGTAAGAAATGATCACGTTGATGACATTGCTTCAAAAACCTGTGCTCTAGTCGTGAAAAAGGTTAGTAGAAAATTTCGATTCTTCTAATTGTCAATCGTCGTTTTTTCTATTATTTAAAGAACCTGATATGCAGCTAATCACCTGACATCAACCGCACATGTTATAAAATTTGAGAATTACCTCAAGCATTTTGTCATATACAGAAGTGAGGTCACTGACGTTGTCTAGTGGATCAAAGTAGGTACATTCCATTCCGAATATCTTTCAACTCCTACTTATGTGTTAAAAGCATTGAAAGAAAAACAAAAATATTTAAGAGACTTTACTTTTAATATTTTCAGCATTTCAATCATATATTTTCTGCCCTTAATTATTTCTTAAAATATGTTTTTTTGCAGGTGGTTCAAGCAAAAATGCCCTCAAAGACTACACCCATACGCCTAGTAGCCTACTCCTACGGCACAGTGGTAGCACTGGAACTAGCATATGCTCTGGAGTCATTAGGTTATACACCAGGAACCGTGGTCCTAATCGACGGCTCGCCTACTATGATGAAAGAGCTGCTCAAGAAAGAAATGGATGTCGCCGAGGATCACATTTTCCAGACGCTGCTCATCTGCCATCTCATGTCCTTTTATTTAACATCCGAACTCGTCGTTAAGAATTATGTAAGTACAAAATGACGACAGAAATCAATGAGAGCATCAAGCCCACATAGCAATAGCAGTAGTATTGTAAGTGTGACAACAGTTTTTGTTTGGCTTAAATTTTGCTAAATGTCCTATTCCATGGCTGCTGCTATTCAGCATAAATGTGATGCACCGCTAGATGGTGCACGCTTGTTGAGGGGAAGGGGAGCGATTTATGTCATGCGAAAATAGCAATCAACAATATTATAAAATGAAGTCAAAAAGAGACAGCTGTATGTCAAGTATTGTCGTGCGGCATTGCCGCTTCCTCCCAATGAGCGTGCAGCTTTTACGTGGGCGTTCAATGATTGACTTTTACTTACCTATAGAACCGTTAAAAATTGGTATGTAATTATTTTCTGAAATTCATATTTTTCTTATTTTATCTAAATATCCAAAACGAGTTTGTAAAAATGGTCCTATAGTGGCCCCTAACAAAGATACAAGGTGATGAAATTATGATTTCGAAAACGAGAAAAAATATATCACCGACTAAATGAAGATACTCACCCAAATGCTCGTGTATAAAGAGTTATCGCAGTGTCGATACAATCGTTTCAGGGGCTGATAGTACTTCGAAGACATTAAGTCACATTTACCTTAGTAAAAAGCCGCACAGCTTGTTACATGTAATTTTTGAAATCCTAGACAAAAGCAAAAATCATGCAATAAGCCATCGTCGTTTCAATAATGGTGAGCATCTCGTGTGTTATGTTATTTTTATGATTCACTTTCTACAAAAATAGATTCCAAGCTATTAAAAAATGACGTACATGATGCAAAAATAATTTTTGCTCACTGAATGATCTGATTTTGTATTCCAGCATGGCTTTTTAAATGAATTTATTGAAAATTATGATTATTGTATGATCTTCCTCCACTTCTGCTCTTTCTTACGGTGCGCTTGTTTCATATTCCTGTAGCATAAGGGAGTTTACTCAAAGTGGAAAAGTTCTGCAGTACCTTGTAGCTTTTCTGAAGATTCGATGAGAAGATAAGGTAACTGCTTTAGTACAAAATATTGCAATAACCTAAATACACAGCCATTCAATTAAAATTTTCAAGCAGGTTACAAAACTGTCGCACCCTAAAAGTGCAAATCAGTGATACACCTTGTACTTTAATGTGGTAGAAAATAAAACACTAGCCGCTATAGGTTTCGGTTTCCCATTATATACAAAAAACATTACGTTTATGTGACAGATTACGATAGCTTTAAGTGATACTGAATCTACTTATATTTAAAATCCAATAAAGTTAAATATACAGATTTTTATGTACTTTTTGATGTGCCTTATATTGCTACTGAAGATATGTATATTCTAGCTTACAGCGGCCTTGCCAGATCTAAGAATTCTACTAACTGGTTCATTCATACCAGAGCAGTTTTTCTCATAAATCTTCTGGACAATAAGCAAACTTGTTGAGGCGGGATTTTACCATCGACATTTTTTTATTTCTTAAACGATCGCGACATTTCGAAGACACGTGATTCATATTGCAAAACCCAAATTAAACAATCATAATGTAAAACTCCGGTTGTTCGATAAACTCCTCTTTTCTTTCTAGGAAAGAATAGCAAAGTGCAAAGACCTAGACGAACGGATTGACGCGGCCATTGAGATAGTTAAAGGTGTGATTACACTGGAGAACCCCAACTACAACCGTGTGGTAGCCAAAACCATCTACAAACGCTTGTTAGCACTGTTGCACTATACACCATCTTACACCAAAATCGAATCGAAGATCTGCCTCATCAAACCTACGCAAATGACATTGAAGCATATCTCTGAAGACATGAACTGCTCAGACCTTACTGAACAGCCTCTGACAGTTGACTCCTTCGAAGGCAATCATATCACCATCGTAGACTCAGAAGAAGTTATTGAGAAGATTAATACTATATTCTGCAGTTGAAAGCGTCATTTGTCGTTTTTGATTTGTGTACGCTGATTAAAGTTTACATTTTTTCTTTAAATTTGTGTTTTTTCTCGTGTGGTGTTGATATAAACTTATCTGCAGTCTGTTCATAGCAAAACCTGCTTTTCTTATGGGTCGTTATTGCATACTAAATGCGCCGATTTTCTGGTTCGCCACCTTAAAGACCAAACTGTTGTGTTTTATTCTCATAAAAACAACATGGTGCCTTTGAAGTATCGATGTACTATATCTCGCATTTCCGTCCGATGAACAATGCATCAGCATTAGGAGTCGAAAATTGTACAACAGTCAACGGTTGCGATAACAGTTCTGGATGAGCTTTCACGTTCTCGAGGTCGCGGAGCGATGAGCGAGGGTAATGTGTCTAGTACATCCATAGGAACAGATAATATCATGCTCACTTGTTGCTTTGGGGATGTTGGGTATCTTTAGGGGCGGAAATGCTCAGCCCAGGGGGCCAAGGTAAAACAGCAACTGGCTTCGCATACCTATAGATTCCAAATTGTGTTGGAGATACCACATTGAAAAGATGAGGATGAAGAAAAGTGGTTATTGATTGGAAAATCTGAACTTTTGACAGGGTTGAGGTTGGAAGTTGAAAACAGCATTACAACATATCTTAACAAATCTTTGTTTACTAAATCTCTAAGGTACAATATATACAAAGCAAAACCAAATGTAATATTAGCAACCATGCCACACTATATTCATGAGATGTTATTCAGAAATGCAATACTTGTGAAAATCGTGTAGGTAACTTAGACAAGTAGAATTTGGTAACCCCGTTTAGTAACAATTGCTTTTGACGTAGGTAAGGTTAAAATCTAAGTGATAAATATAACGGCTTAAAAAATCTCCACGCACTCTCTAAATGCAAGTAATAAAATACTGGTTTCCTCTTTTGTGCGAAATGCTATAAATTGTTGATGTTACGCAACTGTTGTTGATGTTGCCTATTACTTGGTTCTATTGTAATCAAGATCTAAAATCCCAAGGTTTGCACCATATATACTCTGGTTAATGAACATTATAATAACTTGACTATCTTGCAATAAGCCAAAACCAGAAGAACATAAAATTATATGTTACACGTGTACATAATGCAATATTGGTCATATACTATATAAAACATATCACAGTCTACCTACTTGAAAGTAATATAAAGTATTAAGTTAAAATCTAATTTCTGTATATGTAAAATAGGCTTGTGCGCCTTATCATAAGAAGAGCTTCGACCCATCTGACCTACTCAACTCACTATCACTGCTTATTTGAAAAGGAAGTATAAAATCTAGCCTTGATATGGATTCGAGAATATTCGCATCATACAATTTGTAAGACTGAATATAAACATCCTTTGATAATATGGTTATCAAATCCAATCCAAGTTGGTGGGAAATAGAGATAATTCATCTTATTCTGACTTGGAAATGGCGTAAAACTTTAAAATCGTGAGTAATGAGTCATAAGTGCTGTCCAAGCTCTTAATAGAATAAATGGACTTATATAAAAACATTGTTGCTCTAATAGTTGTAATTGTAGTCTAATAGGATGGTGACGAAATAGTGTTTCTTGGCAATACTGACCTCCGTATTATGAGACATCATAAACCTACTGCAAAAGAGAAAGAAAAACATTTGTTAAAACTGGTCCTGAGATGCAAATGAACAAATAGATTCAGTATCTGTGTTGGGAAATATAAGGGCTGGTTTCTATCCGATCGATTTTGTTATTAGGAATACCTTAAAGTGACTTTTTTTAGGTTATATCAATTTGTTTTTATACCTTGGATGAGCCTTACCGAATAATATAATGAGACCAATTTGTATGTTGTAAGACTGACAAGTATGGGGGATGGAATTTCTCAACTTAGCTCTGCGATTTTTTGACAGGTTTTTGAAGTACGTGGTCTTTTCTCTTGGTGTGCTGGCTCAACACCTAATTGCGGACGATACATCTCAAAATTTAGTTGTGTAGTTTTTCATTGGTCTTTGATTGTTCGACCACATACACAACATTTTCTTGCTGAAGTACAAATTCGGTTTAGTTTGATGGTGAAGACCCAAAAAATCTACCGAACACTGACATTTTTCACCGGAATGAAAACTGTCATTATCCGGGTTTTCCAGAAATACGAAGTCTTATAGTCCGCAATCAGGGACCTTTTTTGGACCGCTGCACTTTGTTGTTCCGGAATGAAACTCATTATGGAGAACGAACCTGATGTCTCACTTTTGAAAAGTGATGCCCAAGTGGCATCAATTGAGGATCCTAGAATTTTGCTCCATGCAATTGTAGTGGTAGGGGTAATCGCGCTGATAGCAAACCATTTTTCCTCCGTATATCCAGTTCGGCCGGCTTTGGTGCAACACATGGCTGGTATTGAGAACAAAATGAAGCCGAAATTTCACAGAAAAACTGCTTGAAGCGACCGAATGCAACTGAATATCGAAATCACGAATTTGTGCCTTCGCATATACTACATCCTGTATATCGGTCGCACCGCTAGTGTCGCTTAGGCACCACTTATTAAACGAAAGGTATGGATGAGTACTTATTGCATTCCAATCCACGTTCCGGTAAAATGTCAGACCCCTGAACTGCCGCACTATTAATAATGAATTGTGTAGAGACTATGGTACTAAAGAAGACTAGCTACCTACCTAAAGCAGTATAAGTTAACAGTACTCTTGCATCTTTCAGGTAATGTTGAATAATCTCTTGGCAATATTCACCACCGTGGCATTTTCTAATATACTATTGATGTACTGCAAATAAAAAGACTCAATTGAAAACTTGCTGCTCTCCTCCAACAAATCAAGCAAAAATAAATGTAAGCACAACATAGTAGAAACCGTATTTCGTCTATTGCCTACTATCAGAATCAATAATTATTTCCTGGCGCCCCTCGAAATTGTTCAAGAAGATGTACGTCTAGGGAGGGTTGGGAGGAGTATCTGCAATTGAAAAATAGAAGAGCGGGAGGGGGGGAGGGGGGTGGCGGTGGTTTGTCTGTTGGATCAATGCTTCTGAGAATGAATGCCCTAATGACAATGGAAGAAAGCAAGAGAGTGGTGGTCGGTCGTCCGCATCAGGTTCCGAGAGCAAACATGTCCTTGTGAAAATTAAAGAGCGGCGGAAGAAAAATTTTCTGTTTCGCCTTTGAATTTCCTTAAAGCTCTTTACCGCCTCCCGTAGAGGCGTGCTCACCCACTTTGAGAAACACTAGTATAAATTGAATATGATCTTACCTTTTTGACCTGAGCTTCCACAGAAGGTTTGATTTCAGGCCACAAAATATCTAACGCCTCTGGTGCGAGCTTTGAGATGGCCTTATTGAACAATGCCCCAGTTTCCGAGTCGTTCATCAAGCCCTCAAAATTATTCTGAAATTATTAACTTAATTAAATATCGAAGAACTTATAAAATGATGATATAATAAAATAGAGCAAACAGCGTATGGACGCGACGCACAGCGGTCTCGAAGGTCAAAACCGGCAAAAGATACAATTTCTACATACTCTACGTTATAGTCAGTACAAAAGGGTTTTTGGTTTCTATGGGGACATTTGAAGGTCAGTTGAAGGTCATATAATATATATTAGAACCTATGCTATTTTTATTATACTTTTGATGTAAACAAAACTATTAATAACTCCCTTATTCAATCATTTGCAGACGATACTCAATTAATGCATAGTTTTAATCCGAATAAGGTAGCAAGTACAACAAAAATTTTACAAAGTGATGTTAGCAATTTGATAAAATTTTTCTTCTAATTACAATCTCGAGATGAATCAAGAAAGATCCAAAATATATTGTTTTGTAATGAAAAACAGAAAAATGCTGATTCTCCTCACTTAAAGATTTCTTTAAATAATCATCTTTTATAGTTTGCCAAGACTGCAAAAATACTTGGTGTAGTTTTTGACACTAACGTGAGGTTTGTTGAACATGTGAAGAGTCTGTCTCAAAAAACGTATGTCAGGTTACGTTCTCTTATAGCAAATCGACATTCACTAAATTTTAAACTTCGCAAAAAACTATGCGAGAGTTTAATCATATCTGTGATACTGTCAATTTTCCATCATTAGATAAAAAAAATATCCAAATCATTCAAAATAATTGTGTATTGTTCATTTTTGGATCACAAAAATTTGACCATGTTTCAGCCAGTTTTATTACTTAAACATAGTTTTTCGTATGATTTAGCTACCAGGTATGATTCAATACCTGAAGTGTATGTCATATTCTTTGTCTACATTCCGCAAAAAAGTTAAACTGCTTATAAATTCACTTTTTTTTTTTTTTTTTTTTTTTTATATCGAAACAGCCGCGCAGGCAGAAGCCTAAATGCCGGAACACCGCGGCTGCTATGATGATCCCAAAGAAATATTGTTAATACGATTTTTGAACTGCCTAAGGTTAGTAGAACTGGGAAAAGCTTCCTCCCGTAGATTGTTCCACAATCTAGACACCCTCGGGACAAAGGAGCGGTCGTATCGGCCAGTTCTGGAGGTACGAAGTTTGACACGGTTAGGATGGGACGCCGAAGTCAGGCGGGTCTGTCTGGCAGGCACGTCGCGCGGCGGCATCATGGAAGAGAGCTCTGAGGAGCAAAGTCCGTTGGTGTAGCGATAGAAGAGAGCTAGATCACCGACGGCCCGCCGGTGCGAAAGAGTCCCGAGACTGTCTGTTAGAGAAGAGTCATCGATCAGTCGGACCGCCCTCCTCTGGACAGCATCGAGCATGGACAATGTAGTCGGGGCGGCAGCACCCCAAATGTGTGAGCAATACTCGAGGCTAGGCCTTATCTGGGCCTTGTATAGAGTGAGAAGGTCATGCGGAGAAAAGTACTTCTTAGCCCTAAACAAATAGCCTAGCTTTTTCCCAGCAGCTGCAGCTATTGAAGAGATGTGTTCGTGCCAGATCAGGTCCTCGGTGATCTGGACTCCGACCAGCCGAAATGAATGGCTCTTTGGTAGAACTCGACCGTCCATCGAAACTGTATGAGCGCTAGGACGCTTTTTGTTCGTCAAAGTACAGTACTGGGTTTTGGAAGCATTGAACTGTACAAGATTGTTGCGTCCCCAAGCAGTGATAGCCTCCAGGTCTCTTGTCAGAGAAGAAGTCGTCGCTAGTCTTCTTTTTTCCAGCTCAGCGGCAGATATCGGCTTGTCACTTTGAATTCCTGCATGTAGAGTGCTGTCATCAGCGAAGCTGTGGATTGGGTTGATCGTGCAGGAAAGGAGGTCGTTGATATGTAAGAGAAACAGTGTTGGAGCCAAGACCGATCCCTGGGGAACACCCGCGTTGACGTTGTGGGATGAAGAGGAGAATCCGTCAATTACGACGGATATCTTGCGGCCAGAGATAAAGTCAGCCACCCATCTGCAAAGCTTTTCTGGGAGGCCATAGGATGGAAGTTTGCTTAAGAGGGCAGCGTGCCACAGCTGATCGAATGCTTTCGTGATGTCAAGAGCAACGACATGAGCCTCACCATGAGACTGGATGAGTTTACTCCACAGTTGCGTGACGTAAGCTAGAAGGTCCCCTGTGGATCGTTGGTGCCGGAAACCGTACTGCCTGTCGCTAATCAAGCTGTGACGTTCGAGGTAGTCTAGAAGCTCGCGATTTATGCACCTCTCCATCACTTTACTTATAACAGAAAGCAGAGCTATAGGCCTGTAGTTGTAAGGGTCGGTTTTAGATCCTTTTTTTGGGATGGGCTGTACATGAGCAAATTTCCAGTTTTCTGGGAAGGTGCCGGATTCATAAGATATCTGGAAGAGACGCGAAAGAACTGGAGCAAGCTCCGCTGCACATCTCTTCAGTACAATGGCAGGAATCAAGTCCGGACCAGAAGCTTTGTTGATGTCGAGCGACAAGAGCACTCGTCTTACGGTCTTATGCCTGAATGTTACCTCCCGCATAGTGTGGGGAACCCTTTGGATTGACGGCACTTGGGCGTTGGTGGGGACGTCCATGGTGGAGTTGGCAGCAAAGATCTTGGCTAGCACTTCCGCCTTGGCGTTTGAGTCGAATACAATAGTTCCATCCTGACACGTAAGTGGTGGAAGGCTACTTTGTGAGAAGTTCTTTTCAATCTGCTTGGCCAGCGTCCAGAAAGACCGACTGCCATTGCGCTGCGACATTACCCTGTGCCTAACTTTTATATCATGCTGGTTTTTGGCATTGCGAACCGCTTCGTTATATGTGTTTCTGGACTCGACGTCGGCTTGTCTGTTCTCTACAGTGGGGTTTTGTAAGTAGGTTCTGTGGGCCTTGATCTTCTGCTGGCGAGCAGTGTCACACGATTTGTTAAACCAGCCGTTGGGCCCTGGTTTAGGAACTTTCACTGTGTGAGGGATGTATTCCTCCATTCCGACGTGGATAATTTCGGTTATTGAAGAACAGACAGTCGACGCATCCGCGTCAGTGAAACAGACATCTCTCCAAGGAAAGCTAGAGAAGAAGTCTCTGAGCCCCTCCCAGTCGGCATGTCCGTAATGCCAAGTTTTGCGGCCTGTGCGAGTTTCTGCTGCCACAGCGGCTTCTGACCGAAACCTAACCTCCACAACACCGTGATCTGAGTTACCCAGGGGGGACAGGACAGCAGTGCTGTAAGGGGCAGGATGCGTGGTCAAAAAGAGATCCAGCAGGCTACTGGCGTGTGACGAGACGCGAGGGAAAAAAGTAGGGCTCGTCACCAGCTGGGTCAACCCTTGAGTAAGAGCGAACGCTTCGACTGCACGACCTGCTGCATCGGTCTTATTTGAGCCCAACCAAAGCTCATTATGGGCATTGAAATCACCGAGAAGAACTACCTCTGAAGCGGGGTGATTGATGTTCAGGAAGTCGATCTGGACGGCGAGGTATTCGAGTAGGTCATCCCAGTTATGGTTCGAGGGAGAGCGATAAAGGCAGCAAATAAATTTGGGTGATGTTTTGGAGTTGAGGCGAAGCCACAGAATGTCCTTCCGGTCTGATTCCAAAGAAAGATCCCTGGAGCAGGAAAGACTGCTGCGGACAAAAGCCACAACTCCCCCGTTCTTTCTCAGATTGGAGTGCACCTCGTAGTTTGGGAAGTTGAGATGGTTAATCGGTGCAGTCTCTGAGATTTTTGTCTCCGCCAAGAAAAGCACGGCGGGACGATTGGATTGCAGGTAGTGATGAACAGCGTCAATGTTGCTGTTGATCCCGCAGATGTTCGAAAAACAAATTTTATCTTCGATGTTGTTCCCTCGAGCCCACCCTCCACCCGGACATTCCGAGAGTGGAGTGAGTTTACGTCCGGAGTTTTTAGCGCTCGAGGGATCCATCATCATTAATTTCTTTGTTTTGGTAGATAACCGACTGCATAGCTTGGGTGTGGAAACATGCGGACATTTATAAGACACCCTGGGAAAAGCTAGCGGGTGGTACTGCCTCGGTCGACTGGTCCTTGTCTACCACCTTCTTTTTACGTGTTAGTGATGTTAAATAGACCTAAAGTGGCCCGTTGGCGGACTTGTACCGCCACCCGGCAATCGGTACTGAGGTATTCCTTAACGCGTGCACAATCACTTGGACCGGAAGAAGTTGTATACTGGATACAACAACTTCCGGAACAAGCATTTGCCACGGCCCTCGCTCAGTAGGGTGTAAAACACTATCCACTTACTCTATCATTTCTATATATGCGAAAGGTTGGGAAATCTCGAAACTCGAAATACTACAGACCAAAATACCTCAGCCCAAAAGTTGATAGTTTGTGAGATACAGGATGTCAAAGTTACAATTTTATTTTCTATTTTTCTTTATTGCTTGAGAAGTACTTCAGTTTTAGGCATAAAACTCGGTATAGGGATGTTTCCTATTATGAGAACAACAAAAAATGTTTACTTGTTATAAATGTCTAAAGCTAATAGTTTTCGAGATATTTGTTTTTAAAAGTTCCAATGCATTATTTGTATCATAATAAAACATTTTTATAACATAATAATCAGGTTGCTTTGGATAATATCTGACTAGCGTTGTTATGGTTTCTAATGTTTGTCATAATATTGCTTTAAACTTTATGAATAATTTTAAGTTGACAATCAGTTGTCTAACATCATGGAGTATACGTTTGATGAATATTCTGATATGCATTTAATGTACGGATTGGCAAGATGTAATGCTTTAAAAACAAATATCTCGAAAACTATTAGCTTTTGATACTTCTAACAAGTGAACCTTTTTTGTTGTGGAAATACGAGAAATTAAGATTTTTCGGTCAGTTATTGTATAGAGGGTAGCACAAAAAAAGTTATGATAAGCTATTTACCGAAATAGTGCTGTAAGTGGTACCCTCTACAACTTTGGCCATAAAAAAATAACGGATTCTTGCTTTTTCATACTAGAAAACCTCCCTACAGTAAGTTTTATGCCAAAATCTGAAAAACTTCTCAAGCAATAAGGAAAAATAGAAAATAAAATCGTATCTTTGACACCCTGTATCTCGCAAACTATCAACTTTTGTACTAAGGTATGCTTAGGTCAATTCACATATTTTAGTCTGTAGTATCTCCAGTTTCGAGATTTCCCAACCTTTTGCAGACACCCTGTGTATATGATGTATTGTAATTCTTGATTTACGCATTTTCTGATCTTGCTTTCGTTTGTATTTTTTTTAAGATAGGACATACATTTCTGTATTGTGTTACCAATCGCTAACTAATTGGTTAAGTGTAAGAGTAGCGAATGCTAAACTTCGCCAATCAGTTAGTCTATTTCCAAATAACGACGATTATTATTATTGTTATTATTATATCAAGGGCACTTTCAAATGAAACCAAACGAATGACCTGACCACATGTCATTCAGGTTTTTCTGGTCACTGAGTCCGAAGCAGAGGTCAGTTGGCCACTATGGGGTCATTTCAAGGACACCTCAAAGACAAATTAGATTAGAAATGGATTCCAACCGCGTGTCATATAGATCTTTGCCAAATTTCGGTCCAAATCAGAGATCAGTTTGTGTATAGGAAGGCAATTAAAGGTAATTTTAAGGTAACTGAGAGGACAAATTAAAAAAGTTGGTTCCAACCACTTACTATATGTCAGTATATGAGATTATACTCCTCAATAGTTTGTAAAAACTTGCAAGGTCCACAAACACCATTCATCTCAATTTAGATAAAGTGCTGAATCCTTACTTTAAACTTCTCTAAATAGTAATAACATAAAAAATGACGGTAAAACTAGTAATCCGTCCAACCCAGAATGTATACTAAAACATTAATAAATACAGCTTTTTGTTACATAAAATGAAATCGTATTATGATCCATATTAAGACGTTCAACATTTTTCAACACACAACACAACAGATGACAGAGACTTCTCCAGTCTGCCGTAAAAAAATTGTGTCGAATGATACACCACGAACTTCAATTTTGGTAGTATGTTGTGGTAAGGTAGGGTAACCAAAGTTCTGTTTCCAACTCAATATATCGCGCAAATGGACCACTGTGCGACCCAGGTCATCTTACAGATAATACTATTAAGACATATATATATATCTCTATTATAGCTTTCCAAGTCGATACTTTTATATTTTGGTTTACCTGGAAACCGTCCAAATATATAAACGATTGTTTATTTACTTCCCCTAATACCATTTTACATCTAACATACATGATAGCAGCGACGTGTAAAATTGATTCATTTCAAGTGAAAGTAGGTGCAGATATTATCTTAAAATGGATTCCAGTTACTTCCTACCGGAAAAGAATTTCAAATATATTATGACGCTTGCTCATAAGAGATTATTGTTATACATTATTCTTGTCGGCAAGTGAAAGTATTAACACACATTTTTCGAGATTAATATAAAAAGTTGAAGAACCTTACCTCAAGGCTTGTCAGTTTGACTTTTAAATCCATCTTTTGTACCCTGAGTCTTGCTGGTAGGTTGAATTTCAATATTGTCGAGGTTCCAAGCTTCAGGTCTACCAAGTTTAACCTAAATAATAAATATTTGATTTCTTAGTAGGCAATGCTTATACACCGCATAGATATTGCAATGAAAATATGTAATGAATAATTATAGCCTGTATTTGATACTAGATATTTGCCTAACAAGGACCGGAATATGGATTTCGACCAATTTCGTCCAAAACAATCATCTGGTTCGGTGTGAGCCTACAGCATTTCATCCAATGCGCTTAAGTTTGACAGAAATTGACCAATGACGAACGTTATAAAGATCCAATTCCGTTCAAAAATACATGTTTTTCGAACCCATGAAGTAGCATATCTGCTTTACTTTAATGAATTACTAGATTTGATTATGGTTAAATGTTAATTCTAAATGAACACTAGAAGCAGAATTTTCCGATTCTAGAATGAATTTCTAGATAGACATAAGGTCGAAAACCTCTTCCTCATTTAACCATGAATTAACATATTCTACCAGCAATGTAGCAGTATTTCACCAGCTGTTTCATCACCTGTTAAGAAATTATTATCAACTATGTGGATCATATTATTAACATTTTTTCTCTTGTACCTTTAGTATATCAATCTTCCCCTCCGTCTAAAGCTTTTTTAAGCTAAATGTCTCATACTTTCTTGCACATTCAGAAAGACACTTTCATAGTAAATGTATGTTCTAGTGTTACGAAAAACTGGTAAGCATATTTATGCACTAATTTCGCTACTCCAAATCTGAGCTTGCTAACGTGACCCACTTGAGGGTGGCTTCTTGAACAGCACTGTATAAAAAATTTGAAAAAACAACAAAAAATCATACGAAAAAGAACAATCGGCAGTAACAGTCATTAAACTAAAGCAGATACACCACGTCATGAGTTTGGAAAGCCAGAATTTTTTAACATAATCAAATCACTATGACCATCTTCATTAACAAATTTTTCTTAAACTAAAACGCATTGGATGAACTGCTTGCATGAGTCGAGACCTACTCAAAGGATTTTTTTATGAAATCCATGTTCCGATCTTGAAGACACCTCATGGTAGGATATTGTAGAAATCCGGAGAGTATGAGGACCCTTGAATTTGTAACATGACAAAGTGATCCAAGCATTTTGTGGGAATATCTAAACTGAAATCGATCTTCGTCTGCATCATTCCCTTTAACATTTTACTTTCATCTTACCTGAATGGACCTTCACCGTGAATCTGGAACGAATTCCCAATGAGACCAGCTACTTTGTATAATCCATTTACTTTAATGATAGGGAACGTAAGGTTCAGGTCAAGTTTGAATCTCAACTGACCCAGATCGGAAAAGCGCTCCTTGTCAACAACAAATTTTGATATGTGTTGAATCGTGACATCTTCTGCATATCCTTTCAATCTACAAACCAAAAGAAGCATTAGCTTTCATTCAAAATAAACTCCTTTTATGTCCTAGGTAACAGGACACGAGAGACACAAAGAAAACAAGCTAGCCTGGAAGCTTGCTTCTAAGCGCCTGATAGGTCTAGCGCCTTTTTGTTGTGTAACTGGCAGACGCCATTAATAAGCTCGACCAGAAAAGGCGGAAGCATGGGAAATGTAGGAAGAAGAGTCCATAAACGAACGAATATTCTCATCTACAATCAATTTGCTTATATTTAATAGGGAGGTCTTAAGGGTAGCTCATGAATTTATTATTATTATTATCCCCTAAGATATCACATTTATAGTTTAATGAGATATACGTAACACTGCAGAATGATTCAGTAAAATTTGAGGACGTACTTAGCTGCTTCATGATGCAGATCGAAGTCAATCTTATTGATGTGTAGAGGGTCCAAAATAGGAATGTTCAGTTCGGGGACACCTTTGATCAACTGTTTCCTAAACAGCTCTAGCAATGCTCTCAACCTGTCTTCTATTCTAACGAATGTATTTATAATCCTATCGATAGTCTTGCCGAATATATTGACTCCACCTCGTATTAAATCTGAAAGAAAAAAGCTGATAAATCTCAACCCAAGCACCGATGTGAATACGGTGTCTGTACGCAATTTCAAGTACTCTAAAAATGAGGACCAATGCATAGACATTCAAAATTAAAACAGCACTATAACATTATACATACATTTCATCAAATTAAGTACAGTGATTGCTGTAATTAAAAAAGCGATTATTAGGCCGACAGATAGCGTGAAGGAATGGTATGCACATTTGTGGAATCAATATTTTGATAATGTCTTAAAAACTACTAAGAACATAGAAGTATAAAAACAATAAAATAATTTTACACCTCCTAATTTTACTTGTTAGACCATTGGAATTTCCAATTGCGCAAGCGCGTGATCGTTATAGAACGGTTCTTCGACGGACTGGAACAAAACTTGGACGTTACCTGGACTCCATACTATTTTAGACTGTGTAGGAATATAACAAAGCTGACCGCTGACGGTGTAACAATGGTTTTTAGCATTCTTATGCTTTATTAGATCCATAAATTATACTCTGCAATGCCTAGTAGATTGTATCTTACGGAAATCGTCGAATGAAACTAGCTATTAAAGTATATGTATCTATTTATTTTTTCTGCCATTCTATCGAGTAATTCAAGGCTCCAATATGTAGCTTGGAACAATTTGTCATTCGCAGGAACTAATCAAGTGATGCAAGACATCCTTTTAACAGAAATAATAACAAGGTACGTCGAAATGAATGCACTTGTGCAATTTTCCCAATGATATGCAACATTGCATATCTGAGAGAGTGGCGCGCATTATATATAGTTTTATTGTCTCAAACCTCCTAGTTATATGTATATTGGATGTAACATACACGTCGACAATGGAATCGATGATTGATGTTTCAATTTGTAAAATATTATTTTGGTTTTAATTAGGAATCAGATACCGCTATTTATATCGTCATATTGGCCGATTTTGCCGAAATATGAATCGGCTCATATGACTGCCCATATCCGATAGAAGCCGGGAGATACAAATAACAAAGTTTTAATGCCTAAAACTATTGAAATTTGTTTGGAAAATTGTTTCCGGCAACGTAATTTTCATGTTTGGTTTGGTAACTCAGTGTTTTTTTTATATTTCAACTGCCACTAAGGCCTAAGGCCTAAACACCCATGGGTACCGTGGGGCTATAGGGGGATACAGGGTAGGGGGGACGCCACACGGTCTCTGGCGAAGGGACATGTGTGTATGCAACATGCACACATTCTGGCCCCGCCTACGAGATCCGCCGGGTGGTACCTCTGCGTTCGACAGTCAGATACCGTCTACCACCTAAGGACAATCACAACATCCATAGCCAAGAGACAAATTTCTCTTGGGACGAGATTCGAACCCGCACAGCGCATGGCTACTGATCAGAAGACCGAAGAGTCTACTACTGCGGCCACCGCTGCTGTGTGACCAGAATGGAGAATTATAGGAAAAATGACACTCCCAGGAAATGTTTATATTTGATAATATCACTAGTGAGTTCAAGAGCTGTATAATTCTGTGTTGTGTTGTCAATTTCTGATCAGACGTATTATAGTAATAATCAGGGTCCGTATCACTTCAGTCGTAACTGATGAAAAAAAATTCATCTACGCATGTCCAAATGCAACCGGAACGTTGACAGTGCTTCATAAAGTCAACCATAGCACCTAGGAGATTTTTTGACTTATATAGATTCGATGCAGTCAGCTCATTTATCTACGGAGATCAGAAGCCAATAGGCCTTTAATGCATCGATATCGGATGATTACGCAACCTCACAAAGAAATAAAGCTGGAGATCCGTGAGACAGCCCATGACAATACTATGAATGTGTTACACTCATAAAAAATAATTTCTCCAACTTGGTTTTTTGGCAACATAATGACTATATTTAAAGCATCCTTTAATAACAATGTCAACTTTTTATCTTTGTTTTTCTTTACCTTTGTTAAAATGTGATCTCTTAGTTTTTGTGTAGAAAGCAGTTTCTGAGAGCTGATATTTTTGGTTATTGCCCTTTCACTGACTAGTGTTAAGCATAACAAAATGCCTCAAGTCCGAAGACGTCCAAATTACCACCATGTTAGAGCCTTTGACAGGGGTAGAATTATTATCTAATTATTATTATCGCGAAATTGGCCACCGTGTTAATTGTACTGCAATGATGGTAATACGTGTGTGTCGTGTGTGAATAGAAGAAGGCCAACTGGCCCACCGAGCGTCAAGTAAGGCACTTCAGACAACTAGCTCTACGACACCGGTTTTCTACTACACGTCAGATCTCTGATAAATGGTTTGGAGAAGAAGGTAGACCTGTTACTAGAAACCAGCATGGCATAATGTCATCTTCAGCGACGAATCGCTATTCTGTCTTGGTACGCATGATGGTCGTAGAAGGGTAAAACGCCGCCGTGGAGAACGGCGTGACATTGGACTGTTGAAAGGCATATACACAGGACTGTGGGAGTAATAGTTTGGGGGGCTATTGTCTATGGTAGCCGATCACGCCTTCTCTTTGTTCAAGGCAATATGACTGCTGCGCGTTGTGTTGGTGATGTCGAACAAACCACTTTACTGCCGAATTAAGAGGGCCGTCCACACGTCCTTTTCAGCAAGACAGCGCACATTCCCATATTGCTCGTCGTACTACGGCCTTTCTTCAAGAAGCAGGCGTTAATGTTTTGCCATCACCACCTCGTTCACCAGACTCAAATCCCATCGAACATGTGTGGGATATAATAGGGAGGAGATTATACGCTTTGCATCATCCGCCACAGACTCTGCAACAGCTAATCCACGAAGTCCCAGTTGCTTGGAACGAGGAGCCAAAAGCAGACGTCAATCATCTCATTGTGTCGATGCCTAGACGTATACAGGAGTGTATTCAGCAGTGGGGTCGCCTATCACATTATTAGTTATTTTTCTTAGTATTTTTCAATAAAAGTTCGTGAGAATGTTATCGTTTCATTCTTGTCAAAAAGACATGTTGAAGAAATTATTTTTTCTGGGTGTAACACTAATGTCACTGAGTATATTTTCCGACGCTGAATCCGAATCTGGGATCAGAAAAGTTCATAGATACCTGGAATATACCTCCAGTCCCAAAAACTACCCCTAAGAGGCGTGAAAATTATGTTTTACAGCCATATCCTGAAGCATGGTGCTACCATGTATTTTTTTACTTTTTGATGCTGATTTTGAATCTCTAGGGGGTAGCTTTAGGGCCCGATGGTGAACTCTAGGGGTGTAAAAATCTTTTCGGTCACAAATTCGGATTCAGCGTCAGTAATAAATGGGAACATACTCCAGCATCTGGCTATCCAAACTTAATTTTAATCCGTTCTAGAGGTAGTTTTTGGGCCCGGAGATGAATTTTGAGCATCTGGGAGCTTCTCTGATCCCAGATTCGCATTCAGCATCGAAAAATACATACTAATATCATGGTATGTCTCATGAATCTCGACCATTATATTTTTTTTGGAGCTGTGCTATCGGTATCGGCGAAAATCCGAAATCACCCCAAGTTTTGTATACTAAAGCAGCTGCAAAGAAAGAAACATCAATATATAGTGACTATCATAAATATGATGTTGACCCAACGTTTGAGGTGTTCTTAAGTTCGTCGTCATACAATTATATCTTCATCTTTTTCAGTTAGCGGCCTAGTTGTTCGTATTTATTTGAAAATATTTCCATTGTTTCACTGTATAGGCGAAGCCTCGGACGAAGCAATTTCAAGTTAAATATGGTACCTAGATTTGCTTTGTGCATCCATCTGTTCTGCTGAATGCCAATGCACACTTCAACAGACAGTAAAATTATTTAGAAAAAATGTGTTGGAAAATAACAGCTTTTAGCAGCTGTAGCGAAGCATTAACAATAAACAAATAGCCATGCATGTAAATTATTTATGCATGCTCACTACTCGCTGACGACAATTAAATGGAAAGTGTGGCATCAACTTGAAACTTGAAGATAAATAGTGGTTATATAAGACTTGACTGGGCTTCTTTACATTTTAGCAAGAATGTATTGATACATGGTGACATGACGTAGACCAAAACTAATTACATATTAATTAGCAGTCGAATGTTCTAGGTGTCCATAGGTAGCTCATAATATGTATTAATTTCATAATTAATAATCTTATTGGAAACTTTTGATTTCTGTAACATCTGAAGAGTTTAGTTCTGTATCGAGAAGCGAAAGAAGCTGAAAAGCATCTTGCAATGTCTAGTCCTAAATGCCTCTACTTCTACTTGGTAATACTAAACAATCAGCGCCCACAAAAAGAGGCTTACCTTCATAGTGCATCACAAGAAAAAAAATAAGCAAGTCATTATTAATTTAATCTCGAGAAATATACATGAACAGCGAAAATTGAAATAATACCGAACGTTTGTTTTACTATCACTTCATTACTCATGCATACATGTATATAATTTATCATATTCGACCAAGACTGAACAGCGCCAGCATTTAGTCATATTTCAAAGTTCTTCGATTTGCTATCGGTTCTTACTAATGACTCACTTGTTATTGTTTTACGCTTTAACCTCTAACTCATCAGATATTGTTATCAGAAATAACAATGTAGTTGCATACATATTGAAAGGGTTGTCATTTACGCCTCATAACACTCCCCCAGATACCTACAATCAGGAGGTAGTACAAGGTTCTTAGCAACTGTAATAATTGAAATTGAAGGTATATTTGAGCATGCCTAATCAAGCCGTGAGTAAAACATTAAAAGGTCTTCATCGCAGTGAAGATCTTCTGAGTAGCCTCCAGGTTGTGGAAAATAAAAGCCAACTAAAGGCTTTTCCTAAAAAAGTGAACAAGTACCATAAAATGTAAAAGAATGTGGAAGAATGGCTTCATAGCTAGAGAATGAATGACGAAAACAGGGGGAGATGATCTAAAAGTATCTATATTCACTAATAACTAGCACTACCTACTATACAGGGTGATTCACAAGTCGTGAAAAAAAATT